TGGAAATGTAATAAGGGACATACTTGGTATGCATCCTTTAATACTATCCGAAATAGTAATTCTTGGTGTTCATATTGTCAATATTATAAACGTGAAAAATTATGCCGTGAAATTGTTTCTAAATATATTGGTTTTCCATCCAATATACGCCAAATTTGATTTTCTTAAAACTTTTGAACACCCCCCAGGTCTACAACTTGATATTTATTATCCGGAATATGGATTTGCGATAGAAGTACAAGGGGTGCAACACGAAAAATACATCAAATTCTTTCATAGAGGAGATTTCAATAATTTTATCAAACAGCAAGCACGGGATCAACTCAAGAAAGAATTATGCGAAGAAAACCGGATCGTTTTAAGATATGTCTGGTATTACGAAGACCCAATAGAAATAAAACTTTAAATCGTATTTCGTATTCGAAGTTCAATTATATTATTCTTGATTAAATTCATGTGACTGTGGGACAATGTCACCGCACTTTATTTTTCCGATGCACAGTTACACACTTCATACACTCATGCACTGCTTAAAATCATAAGTCCGGATTGTGGGTAAACCTTTTATTTTTCATTGATTACATATCACAATACAAGGTCTTAATAATAATCTGAGTGCGAATTCACAGAAAAAAAGCATATCAATCATTTTCCCTATTCTAAAAACGTCCATACCCGAATGGACAGTTTCTGTTGCAGTCACGTGTCTTGCTAACAAGCTGTTTAAATTTTGGTGTTCCAAGGGTATCGCGTTTGAAACTTGCTTTTGTTGATGGTGGACTTGGATTACAGACCTTAGCATAGAAAGTATTAGAGGATTTGCGAAAAATCTCTCGTACTCCTAAAAGCACATCTATTTCATCAACAAAAGACAACATCTCTTTCACCGAAGCCGGAACTGAAAATCGCCCGATATGGATCATAGCATATGTTCCTTGAATGAGATCCATCATATAGAAGTCTAATGTATAATCTATAAAAAAGCAATGTCCCAAAAAGTTAGCCATAAAAATCGTGGGAAAAAAAAGCAACTATTATAATTTCTTACCGACGCATTGAAAACCTAGCAATTTTATGTCAGCACCCAAGTCTATGGCCGAATCAAGACAGTCTTTCATAAAAACACCAACACGAATTAGATCATTGCAATTCTTATAGACGTTATTTTTTTCTAAAGGTGGACTGACTTCACCCACAAATATAACACCGCTTTTTTGTAGCTGATGGACAATAGATACTACAAAGTCCGGTTGTTTGCTTCTTCCTTGTGATTTCCTTGCTTTACTTTCATCAAGACCTGTATTGGGCCATTCAACAATATGTTTGTCTGGATCATGAAATATTTCCCTCATGATGCGGTCCAGATAATTTGTAATAAACATTATTTCGCTTGGCTCATTTTTAATCTTTTCAGTCGGCAACGTTTTCAGATTTTCCAAGATAACGTAATCCATGCTCTCGTCCAACATTTTATCGTTTGTAAGTTCTGCTAGCAGTGATGTTATGGCACTGCGACGCGACTCTTTTATTGCTTGCTTGATCACCTTCCTAAAATTTGATTCACATTCTGAGTCTAATTCTGTTTGCCGAACAGGTTTGAATTGTTGGTAGACTTCATCAAGCAGAGGAGAACCGAATATGTTGACCATCGTTTCTGAGTAAGAGCCTGGAATAAGCAGAAAAATCGAAGACAGTGCCAGTATTTCATGTGCGTTTGATTCAACGAATAGACCATCAGTCTTTGCGATCTTTACTGACTCATTCTGATATTTTCGGAATAATTGAGATATATTGATTTCTCCTATCTTAAGATCATTTTCTGGATCCCCATCATTGAAGCACAGTTCGTCTACATCATCAATTATTATAATTCCGTCTTCGTCTTCTTCCACTACAAATGGATTATCTATTGGCAATGAATGTAATATTGGACTACATGGCGATGGTGCAGAGTATCCATCTTGATGTTGTTTTTTTATCATACATTCCTCATTATAATAGATATATCGTCTTTTTCTTAAGAGATAAGATTTGTTATCCGTAGCTGACTCA